AAAAAATCTGGCCACGTTAGGGCATAAAATATGGATTGACTAGAGTATTGAAATGATTACATCATGTTGGAATCTTCAAACCCATGAGAATGATGTCAAACTTTATTTATGTAAAACTTAAATCTCTTCTGCCTCCGTAATGGCAAACCTTCGCGATATAGAATAAATAGCAAAATATTTTGCATACCTCTGCCTATCATTTCCCCCATGGAACCAACATTGATCGGATAAAATTTTGCATACCTCTGCCTATTATTTCCCCCCATGGAACCAACATTGATCGGAAAATATTTTGCATACCTCTGCCTATTATTTCCACCCATGGAACCAACATTGATCGGAAAATATTTTGCATACCTCTGCCTATTATTTCCCCCATGGAACCAACATTGATCGGAAAATATTTTGCATACCTCTGTCTATTATTTCCCCCCATGGAACCAACATTGATCGGAAAATATTTTGCATACCTTTGCCTATTATTTCCCCCCATGGAACCAACATTGATCGGAAAAATTCTATCGGAATAAATTTTAATATTTTGTTGCTCGTGCATCAACCAATCAATCAATCCATCAAAATTACAAAATCTGACAGCCTGAGGTTTGGGATAATTATACACACTGATTTTCCTTTCCTGCCCAGCTTTACACTTTATTATTTTGCACACATTTTTTACTATCTCACCCTTGGACTCAACTATATGAGACAAGATGATAACAATCAATGGCTCTTTTTACACACCTTTATATATTTCGCGAACATTCACAATGATTTTGAGATATTATAGAACTAAACAGTTCAAGCTTTTTGCTTTAATAATTCCTGGATCAGCTGGTATTGGTAAACAAAATCAAAACAAAACAAATCTATTTCTGATAATTTATCTATCTATCTATCTATCTATTTACCTATCTGATAATTTATCTATCTATCTATCTATCTATTTACCTATCTAATAATTTATCTATCTATCTATCTATTTACCTATCTGATAATTTATCTATCTATTTACCTATTTGATAATTTATCTATCTATCTATCTATTTACCTATCTAATAATTTATCTATCTATCTATCTATTTACCTATCTGATAATTTATCTATCTATTTACCTATTTGATAATTTATCTATCTATCTATATATTTACCTATCTGATAATTTATCTATCTATCTATCTATTCACCTATCTAATAATTTATCTATCTATCTATCTATCTATTTATCTATCTATCTATCTATCTATTTATCTATTTACCTATCTAATAATTTATCTATCTATCTATCTATCTATCTACCTATCTAATAATTTATCTATCTATCTATCTATCTATCATTTAGCTATCTGATAATTTATCTATCTATTTATATATTTACCTATTTGATAATTTATCTATCTATCTATCTATTTACCTATCTAATAATTTATCTATCTATCTATCTATCTTCTTGTATCTATAGATTATTTGTCTATTCATCCATCAAATTAGTCCAAATTCTGGCCTTCGGGTTTCTAACCGTAATTCTACCAAAATATAATTTTAGAACTAACTTTATAAACAAGAAATTTATGTATCGAAAAGATACTAAGGCATTTGTTAGATCAAATCAAATAGATTATCAAATATAATTAGTGCCACTGGAGAAAATATGTTTAGTTTAGACTAAAGTGGGACATCTAGGGACCCCAGGGAAGGTTTATGAAGAATCAAAATTTCATATATTTGTCTCCATCAAAATTCAATCGTCATTAAATTTTGAAAAATTTTAAAAATCCGCGAAATTTTTTGTGAAAATCAGCAAATTATTTTTGTTTTGTTTTACGATGTACGCAAAGAGAACATGTTCACAATTAATTTAGAAGATGGGCGCGAAGCGCCCTAAAAGCCTAGAAAGAAGGGCGCGAAGCGCCTTGAATTTCTAGTTTACATAAGTTTGACGTGACATATTTAATGTAGGCTGTAGCCTAAGGAATTGAGTTTTTACCACAAACTCTGATTTTCAAAATTCAATATCGTTACAACCCAATGTCGTAGACCTTTAATATTTCAAACTATGAAGGCTATTAGATCAAATAATGTAAGTTTGAAATATAAAAGGTTTACATCATAAGGTTGCAAAGATATAGGTTTTACAAAAACTGAATTTGTGGCAAAGATTCAATTCCTTTAACATATATATATATATATATTTATGTATTTACTTATATATCTACATTTATACATTTGTATATATATATACATATACATATATATATATATTTATGTATTTACTTATATATCTACATTTATACATTTGTATATATACATATACATATATAAATGTACACAATACACAGTTAAAGAAATTAAAGACTTCATTTGCTTTAAAAAATTGATTATCAAAGGAGAACAATTATTCTAATCCCCATCTAACGTTTATAGGAGCAATCGGTAAAATTGTAGTTAGAATTATTGTCTGAATTTATGACAACAGTTAATTTCAAGCATAGGGAGCCATAAAGAGAATGGTTCTTTGTTAATATCTTGGTCTAAATGTGAAATGCCTGAATTGTTACATAAACTGCCCGTTAATTAAAACAATTAAAATTCACTGTAATTATACTAAGTGGTGTAATTAGACGCACACAAATATTTGATCAGAGCTAATAGTAATCTGTAATTATAACAGAATCTTTTTAATTATTATTGTTATTATTATTATTATTATTATTTTTGTTATTATTATTATTATTATTATTA